GATTGGAACGTAGGCTTTGATTATGACCCTGTGATTGCCTTCTAGCTGCTTCCCCCATCCCCTGAACAATGCTGCATAAAAGAGGGCTCAGTAAGTAACTGTTGGGTCAGCAACTGAGCTGACATCCTGCCAGGGGGGTGCTTCCTTATGAAAAATAAAGTTCTGATCTCTCCCGCGTTTGCTCAGCAAGGGTAATGGGCATGGAGAGAGAGATGACTCCAGATTTCACAGCCCGCTGGGGCGTCCTCACCTGGATTCCCACTGCGAGGGTCATGTTGCTCCCCACTGGTGTTCTAGCCCCAGAGTGGGCTCAAATCCGCCCCCCACTGACTCCCTCAAAGTTACCCAGGCAGGTTAAGGGGAAGCACATACAGAAGATTCTGAGACACTGGACAGGACCCCAGGCTCTGACCATGCTGCTGAGAGGAAGCAACAGACTCCCCCACCTCAAGAGGCTGACTCACTCCTGCAGGCGCCTTGCTGAGGCCCCTACCCCTTAGTTCCCAGCTGGCTGCCCTGTGACAACACCATCTGGTCACCCACCACTCAAGGGTTCAGTCACCACCAGCCCAGGGAGAACTGCAGGGCTCCCCTCAGGTCCAACTCCCAGTCAGTCATGCTCCCCAGAAACAACGGCTTCTCCTGGGGTCCCTGGCCCTGCCTACACACGGGATGAGCCCTGCTGTCCCCTGGCTCCACTCACACTGCAGCTGCCACAGTGTCCTCAAGTCCCGCAACAGAAGTGCAGCGGGCCAGGCATGGAGGGGCGTCTGTCCAGCTGTGTATCTCTCTGAAGACAGAGGTTTCAAAACACTTAAATTCCAGATGTCCTCCTCCAAAAAGCTCATGACCTTGTGAGCCAGAGCTACTCCAGCTGAAGCAAGCACGGGTACAAGTACAAGCCCTAACACCTGGCAGCCAAACCACGGGGACCCCTTAGCACAGCCCCAGGCTCCTGCCCCAGAGAGGTCTGAGAACTCTGAGCTAGGATTCTTGCTCATTTTAAACCCCCTAGTGAGACAACCTCACCATCCCAGCTGTCCCAGAACTTTACCACCAAGACTGCCCCAAACCAACCAGCTCACTATATCCACCCGGACCCTACTTCCCCCAGCTTCTCTACCATTTTGTGGAGGAAGAGCCAATGTCTGATCCCACCTGCCCGCCCTTCCCAGCTAACCAGCTTCCACATGGGCAATGCCCTGTGTCTCCCTAAACTCAGGAGAAGATATCCAACCACCACAAGGACCCTCCCCTGAGAACTCCTGGAAAGCAGAGACCCTGGGGCAGGGGATTTATGAAGATTAGGGATCCTGTTGAGAGGAAGTCAGGTATGGGGTCTTGGCTGGGCAGTCTAACACTCTCAATGACCTCCCCGCCAACTGCTATAGAGAGCTGTGGGGAAGGAAGTGAGCTCGGGGGCCTCTCACGCACAAGGGATCCCCGGACCTCTCACTCTCCTGGTCTGCTCCAGGTGCCCCAAGTCTTCCCTGGACACTCATTAAGACTGGTTCTATCCTGCAGTGAATTCTAGGGCCTTTGCCTATTGCTCTGGGCTGACACCTGCCTGGGTCTCGTTTCCTACAATTTCAAGGAAGCTCAGTTCCCTCCTGCAGCTGCCAGCAGACCACATTTCCTGGGGCTCAGGGGGTGATCTCCTCCTGCCCAAGGACGCCACCTCTTTGGACTCTGGTGGAGCAGCCTGACAAAGCTGGGGCATCTCCCACATAAAATGATAGTCACATGGTACCCAGGCATCCCCTCACACAGACACTGTCCCAGATGGCTCTGCCTGGAGCCCCCCAGTGGTTTATGTGAAGAAAGGCAGAGTTTTAGCCCTTCCAGCTCAGCTGGCCAGGCTGCCAAGGAGTCAGAGGCTGCAACACAGATTACAAAGCTGGGATCTATACATCATTCTAGAAATCCCACAGAAACCTGACAAATGTTTCTCTTTGGGTTCCTTACAGTGACTCCCAGGACCTTTCTGTCTCATGAGGTCAATCCTGCTCCAGTCTCAGGCATGTCTGCAACTGCCAGGACAGCAGCTGCTCTCCACCTCCCCCACCCAAAGCTCTGAGACCGTTCACCCCTGCCCCCTGCTGCAGCCTCTCCCATCCTTCTGGTAGCGGGGCTACTGGCCTCCCCTACCCCTCACGCCTCCTGAGACAGAAAGCAGATGGCTGCCGTCATTCCATTTGAAACACCTCCACAGCAGACCCAGCCTCAGATCCAGAGAGAAGACAGAGAAGTGGAGGAAAAAGAAGGGTACGCACACGCGCGCATGCGTGCACACTTAAAGGCAGCCAGCTGTCAGAGCTGGGAGAGTCAGAAGAGCCCACGGTCTCATTAGCAGCGTCTTTCCTCTGGTCCCAGGGCAGCGGGGAAGAGGGCAGGTGTGGGAGAGAGCTTTATGTTCTCTTCTCTCTGTTTCCCAGGCTGAGAGAGGCACAGGGCCACCCCCCGTCCACTGCAGGCTCAGCCCCTTTGTTTCACGTGGTAAGCTCCCCAGAACACAAGATCAGGCTAAACACAGGGGCAGAGATGACCTCTGCCTCCAGAAACCATCAGAGCACCTTGGGCCATGCCTCTGCTGTGGGCAGACTGGCATCTCTCTCACTCTCCCAGCTGGTGGCCAAACCCACAGCAGTGTGCCTGACGGACATCTCTGGAGAAGCCCCTTGCTCTCTTGTACCCTGGCTTCCTCATCAAAGGCAGGAAAGAGAATGGTAGCCCCCTGCTCCAGTCCCCACCCCAGGAGAATCAAGCCCAGAGCACAGCTGACAGGCTCCCATGGGAGGAGGAGGAGGAAGGAGGAAGGGCTTTCATCAAAGAGGTGACGTCAAAACCAGGCAACTTGTGAAGCTGTCAGGGGCCGGGAAATTTGGACAAAGGTGTCTAAAAATAAACCCCTGAAGCCAGGAAAAGACTTTGGTGGCTGAGTTGCTCGACACCACACCACATGCCACATGTCCTGTTCTGAGGTCTGGAACCCAGCAAGTCTCTTCCCAGGGGGGCTCCTCCAACCCTGAGGTTGAAGACAGCCATGACAGGACTGAAGACACTGCCCAGTAGCCTTTCTTGGGTGAAACGGTTGAGGCTCCCTTAGGGCGCACGCTGAATGGGCCTCAAGCACCAATGTCTGCCTTCCTGCCCTTACCACCAGCCAGCAACCCCACCTCCTGTATCACCCCGCCCTCAGCCTCCAGCCCAACTCACCCCCAGGCAAGCACCTCCTCCCCAGCACCCTTCTGGCTGCCACCGTCCAGCTCACAAAGGAACTCCACCTCTATTCTCCCCGTGCCTCTGCCCTACCACAGCAACAGCTGTCCTGTTTCTTCTCTTCCTGTCCTTGACCACCAAGGCCACAGCTGGTGACCCATTTATTCATTCCCCAGCCCTGACACCAGATTTTTCGTCTCCTTAACCAAGATCTGTCTGAGCTCCCATTCCATCACCAAGGACCCTCCCCCAGGCTGCTCTGGAGATCCCTCAGGTTCCTTTGAATCCACCAAATTGAAATTCCTCCTTTCTTCTCCTATTTGTTTCTCAGGCAGCTCCGCACTACACAGTCTCCAGAGCTGGTTGCCCTCCCAGCCCCTCCACAGTCCGATCCATTCCAATCCAGGCATCAGTCCACCAGTTCTACCTTCAAAACAGATGGTAAATTTCCACTTCTTCAGCATCTCTACAGCCACTGCCCCAGTTCAAGCCACCACCATTCATGTGGAAATCCTGACAGCCCCATAAGCACCTCCACTGGCCCCATGGATCTGGGATCCAGGCCCACCCTGGGCAGGATGAGAGCACCTGTCTTGTACATGTGTGGCTAAGAGGCTCAGATCACGTGTCACTTTCCAGGCTGGAACACTGCAGTGACTTCCCACCATCTTGCTCCCACTCTGCTCTGCCTGGAGTCTTCTTACCCCCTTCTCCAAGGGCTCTTTCAGGGTTCCACCTGAGAGATTACGTCCTCTGAGAGGCTGTCCCTGACCACTGTATCCAAGTTGGTCCCCTGCCCTTCCTTACCATTCTTTTCTAGCATGTATCTCATTTTTGTCTGACGTTTTAAAAAAAGATTTTATTTTTATATATTTTTATTTTATTTTTTTATTTTTTTATTTTTATATATTTTTAAAAGATTTTATTTTTAAGTTATCCCTACACCCAGTGTGGGGCTCAGCCTCACATCAGATCAACAGTTGCATGTTCCACCGACTGAGCCAGCCAGGTGCCTCTTGTCTGACACTTATTACCGGTCTCTAACCACTTGCTGTAAATGTGTATTTCATACACCAACATTTCACACTGTGTCCAGCACAGTACATGGCACATAGACATTCAATAAACTCAAGTTGAATGGATGAATAAACAATTGCTTTCAAGCCCAACTGGGTCATTCCCAAGTACCCAAGTTTACAAAATGTTCTGGAGGAGGAGGGATGTGCAACAGGGAAAATTTTTAAAAAATCTCTGTGGACACAGAGACCCCTGACCAGATCAGGAACCAAAGGAGATAGGGGCTACTGCTGCCCCAGCCCTGTGCTCAGGGAGCAGGTGCACAAGCCCATCCAGCGGCCAGGCCCAGGACCAAACATGAAGACCTGGGGCCTGCCACCCACAGGAAGCCTCAGGGCTCTGGCTCTGTGGGCCTCAAGCAGGAAAGGGTCAGGGTGGACCTGTCCATCCATCTGAGCCTGGAGCAGGGCCTGAGACCTAATGTCTCTGGTCCAAGCCAGAGCCAAACTGACCAGGCTACGTTTGTGAACAAGCTCCCTATGCTCCTAGTAGATGCTCTGGCACCCACAAGTCTCTGGCATTTGGAAAAGATGCCAGCAGCATCTGCCCATCTTCCTAGCTCCACAGGTGCCTGCTCCATGGGGGCCCCGGGGTGCTGCCTTCCCGAAGGCAACTTTTCCTCCCAGACTGGGCAGTCCTCCCCATCTCCCAGCTGAAGGACTGGTTATCCCCCAACACATACATACACTGGGCCGGTCTCTCACCTTGATGTAGGCATCCAGGGCAGGATGGACACGGCGGGTAGCCAGCCAGATGGACAGGCTGGAGGTGTAGGGGAAGGTGGCTGTCACCACATGGCTGGGTGCTGGGAAGGAAAACACATTGAAGCCAAACTTCTGGTAGAGCTGGATGAGCTCAGGGGAGGGGGACTCCTCACCCTCACTCAGAATGCTGCCCACTGCACAGCGGCACTTCTCAGGGGGTACCTGGAGAGGAAGAACAAGGGTGTCAGCGTTGGGCAAAGGAAGGAGGCTCTCAGAACTCTTGCTACCTGGGTTTTGTCCCAGCTCAGGCCTGGCAGAACCATGAGCGCCAACATGCCACAGCCCCAGATACCATGATGGAGAACAGTATTTTCCTCTGGAACTTATCCGTAGTCCCAGCCTCTGGCATCCTGCTGCAGGATTCGTCCATCCCTTCATTTATGCCTCTACCAAATATGCCAGACCCTGTGCTATGGAGGGTCACTGGTCCGGAAGCGGGACCACACTGAACTCTGGGTTGCTGACAAAACTGAGATCCTCTTCCCTAGTCCCTCAGGTTGGGCCAGCCACCATCACCAGAGCCCCCAGACCTCCTCTCCAACCCATGCCCCATCCCAAGCCCTGCCACACTTGCCAAGTCCCTTCCTGGCTCAGCCAGAGACTGTTGGTTCCCCTTCAAGTTTCCCTGGGCTCCCAGTACCTGTATGTCACTGCACTGTGCTCCCCTCCCTAGTTGCCCTCCCTCTCCTGGGTCCCATAAACCCAAAGTGGGTGGGGGTCCATGTGAGTCTCTAACACTTCCTAGGCCTGGCCCCAGGCCTGCAAAGCCTCACCATCTCACCTCTCCTCTGGCATCAAGGGGCCCCACTTTGTCTCATTTCCTGCCACCTGAGTCTACACCAGGCCCTGATACCCCCAGGGATATCTAATCCTGAATCGAAGACACTCATCAGAGACCATGTGCTATCAATCCTGGATTTTCCTCAACTTGAAGGTCCCTTTCTCCTACTATCTGGGGCCCACTGATGCTTAAATTCAAACTCCCTCTACCTCCAGTTGCTTCTCTTGGCCTACCTTCCCAGCACCATGAAGTCATTTTTATGTGTTCTTGCTTCTGCCCTCTCGACAAGCCCTGTCAACAATACCCTAGGGGTTTCTCAGCCCAGCCCAGCTTTGTCCTTGGAGTCTCACTTTGCCTGGGACTCAAGCACCAACTCCAGGTTCTCACCTCCATGCGGTCCCTGGGGGTCACTGCTAGGTGTCTGCAGCTAGGGCCCCCTTGCCGCCCCCTTGCATCCTATGTCATTAAGTCTAGCCCAGGACTTTACTGGCAGGCAATATGGTGCAGTGGTCAGGACCACAACTTCTGGAGATACACAGGACTGGGAGTGAATAGTGAATCATGTAACTCTGGGTAAGTCCCCTGATTTCTTGGAGCTCAAGTTCCTTGCAGAATTGACAAACTGAATGAGATACTTCATCTGAGGGCCCGGCCTGGTGCGGCGCTCGGCAAGTACTGGAAGTGCTGTCAGTTATTAGCAGCTACGACACAGGCCAAATAAGTGACCCCTGGCCTGCAGCCATGCCCTGGCCCATTCACCCAAACCTCCCAACACGTAGTTCCTCCCTGCCCATTCTCCAGGTTCAAGCGCTCTCCTGGGAGTCTTTCAGGGTAGCTGGGTGCCCCCCACCTCCAAACACACATGTTTCGCTGTTAACTCTTGCCTCCATCAACTCCACCTGGTAGCAGTCACATCCCTGGCCTGACACTCCTCCCACCCTACCCTGGCAGAGGCGCTGGAGCCAAATGCAGTACCATCTCCTGTCTATAGATGGTGCAACTGCTCCATTCACACCCAAGGCTTGAGGCAGGAGGCACCTGGCAAGTGTCTGCTGCAATGCCAATCACTGTGATCCTGACCCCAGCGACTTATCGTGTACAAAAGAAACATTCAATATAACTTAGATGGAGAAATGGATGGAAAGCCACCTGACTGATCATCTCCGGCCCTCCTGGGATTGAGTCCTTGGGTCTTTTTGTGGATCACTTCAGCAGTCTTTACGGACCTCCCAGGCTCAACATCCTCCTTGATTCCCAAGAAGCACAACACCTGTGACCACCCTGCTTATAACTTCAATGGCTCCCAATTCTGCTCTAGGATGAAACTTTCGAGCCCAGCATTCAACATTGTTTTAAGTGGTCCATACAATAGTGCCTGGATTTGTCCACACACTCGCCTAGCACTCTTTTTGGCATCCCCAGGCCCCAGTAGGGGCCAGAACCCAGGTGGGCAAGTGTCCACTGAGCATCTGAGTGGCAGAGGGAGGGACAAATCCAGGCTCTGGCCCAGCCCACCTTGCCGGCCTCCTCTCCTACCACAACCCTGCACACACCCACACGGAACTATTTGCAGCTCCCCAAACATGCCACGTCCTCCCATGCTTCCTGCCTTTGCGCAAGCTACTTCCTCTGCCTGGAATGATCTTCTTCACCCTACTCCAGAGTCCCTTCTGCCTGGGAAACTCCTGCCCATCCTTCAAGATTCAGCTCAACCCTCCTCCTCAAATCCTCCTTGCCAAGCAGCCCTTCCTCTCAGATCCCAAATGCCCACCCAAAGAAGCAGGTCTTGTGCTACACAGTAACTGATGGTTCCTCTGTCTCTCCCCACCACTTCAGGCTTCTAGGCAGAAAGGTCCAGAATCCTGTGCACACAGTAACTTTCTTGGGGTATCTCAGCAACACCACATGCATGCCTGCACACGTACACACGGGCCTTGCACGTGAGCTAAGCTCTTCTTCCTCTACCTTGAAAGAGGAACTCCCATCACAGGGAAAGGAAGCTAATAAGGGACAGGACTCCTGAGATCCTGGAGGTGTGTCAGCCTCAGGTGCTCCCTTTCTGCATGAGCAACCCCTCAATTCCACAAGTGGGATACCTCCTACCCCATTCTGCCCTGGCCAGTGGCTAAGGGGCAGCCTAGGAAGTTATCAGGAAGCCCACCACCTGCAAAGCAGCCCTGTACCAGCTGGAGCTGCTGGAGTTCCGCACCTGAACGAGGCACTGGCAAGGAGATGGAACAGACCCTAAGACCAGCTGGGGAGGGGCAAGGCTGGTCAGGAGCAGGGGAAGGCTTCCCTGGGCTCCCTGGAGAGCCCATGCCCACCTCCAGGAGAAATGGCCCACTGAGGTCAGGGGCCTAGAAGATAAAGGGAATGTCCTGATAACTAGAAACTCTACCCAGCTTGGTTGATTGCAATGCCTCTATTTGGGCCTGATCCTAGGAAGTCAGCCTGGGCCTCCCAGTTCCATCTGCTTGTTCACTCTCCTCCCTAGATCAGTCATTTCTCTAGGTACCTGTGCCCAGAACAAGAGCTGTGAGGCCTTTTCAGTCCTGGCATGTGAGAAGAGGGGAGTCTACTTGGAACCTAAAGCTTCTGGATACAAGCTGGCCCCAATGCTCCTTCCAGAGAGGTCTCATGGTGCCAAGCTGACACTGTTGGTGAGGCCATAGTGAAAAGAGAGTCCCTGCCTGGCTAAGACTTCAGTGCGTCTAGAAACTGGACAAGACTAGTATCTTCCAGGATCCAGGAAGGAAAACTGGTGTCAGTGGGTCCAGACCAAACCCAGATGTTGGGTTCAGTCGAAATGGCCAGCCCTAGGGGCGTCTGGGTGGCTCAGTCAGCTAAGCATCTGCCTTCGGCTCCGGTCATGATCCTGGGGTCCTGGGATTGAGCCCCGCTTGACTGGGCTTCCTCCTCTGCTCTCCTTCTCCCTGCCGCTCCCCTTGCTTATGTGTCCCCCAACCCGTCCCGTGTCAAATAAATAAAATCTTAAAAAAAGAAATGGCTAGCCCTCGATCCATAACCTGCAACATCTGATGAAGTCCAGCTGCAATGCCTGCAGATCCAGGCCCAGCGAGCTGCTTCAACTCCTCCCTGGCCAGCATACCCAGCCCAGAGCTACCCAAGGTAAGGGGACAAGTAGGGACAGTGACCTTCACTGGCCTTCACTGAGGGGGAACAGAGCAGCCACAGCTCTTCATTACTGGAGGGTGGGTTCATTTAACCTTCAGGGTGCTGCAGGTCAATACACCAAGCACCACAGGTCCAAGTTCCCCAAGCAGGTGGTCTCCAAAGGCAAAAGCTGGTCCACACTAGTCAGGACATGGGTGACACAGACAGCAGGGCCAGAGGACAGGACCCATATTTCAGGCTGCAGGGGAGGGGAGTAAGCAGGATGCCAACCTCCAAAGGGGGGCCTAGGGGCCTTCTGGGAACTCTCACTTAGAAGTCTTTCAGGGCTTCTTTCTTTTCACCCCCAGGCATAATCCTAACAACAGCTGGCACCTGACAGTGTGCTCACTGACTACCCCAGTTACTACCTTCCACATGTCAGTTCATTCAATCCAAACAGCACTGTGCAATAGCTACCATTATCCACTCTGTTTCTGAGACCCAGACGGCAAAGCTATTCAGAAAGGGCCATACGGCAAGGCAGTGAAGTCTGGATTCGAACGCAGGCAGACTGGCTCCAGAGATGCACCACAGGACACAAAGCCACGTGGGAGCCCGAGAAGCAGGCCCTGGCTAGGCAAAGCCTGCATAATGGTGTGTCCCTATGCTGTGCTCCTCTGATGGCCCAGGCATCCTGCAAGAGGCTAGGCCAGAGGCAGGCAAGCAGGGGTCCCAAAAGTACAAAGTCCTAGTGGCATGAGGCCCAGGGGAGGGCGTGCCAAGAGTGCTAAGCATCTACTGGGGGCCAGGTTTTGGGCCTTATCCTTATTATTTAGTCCCCAGAAAAACAAAACCCCTGAGGTAGGAATTCTCAGAAAGACCAAGTGACTCCTTCAGAATCACACTCTAACAAGCAGGAGAGCCTTGATTCAAACCCAGAAAGATTCAAAGCCCTCTCCTCCCATACCCCAGCCCTCCTCCCTACCAAAGGCAGCTCTGCTGGGAAGAAAGGGCTGTGCCTTTCCAGGGCTCCCACACACAGTTAACCTGCTAAGGAGCAAAAGCCCAGACTCCATCTGGATGAAAATCATCACGGGTAATTAGGGAATGGCCTGGGCCCCTGGAAACACCAGATAGCCCTCATTCCCACTGCCCTTGTTGAGGGGTCAACCCTGGGCAATCTCAATCCCTCATTCCTTCTCAAGCCCCATATGGTCTCAGTGCCTCTAGGGATCGTAGGGGAGACCCCACCTACACACACACACACACACACACACACACACACACACACACAGAGGAAAAGAAGTGTGGCACAGGCCTAAATCAACACTCTTACCAACCTAAGCCCATGCAGATGTGGTGGTCCCAGGCTGACTCTCAGTGGACTAGGAGAAAAAAGGAGCTTCAATACAATCTAGTTTACTAAAGGCAGAACCCAAGAACCACCAGTTCCCCCATCTGCCCCATACCTGGGGCAAGCACCCCTTCCTAGGCCTCAGCCAGGTAAACCGAACGTGCTGCCACACCCCACTTGCCTCAACCAGGCTCCCCACAAGGGCAGCAGACAGGCTGCTTAAGGCCCAAACAGCAGTGGAGGCAGGAGCAGCAGGGGTAGAGAAGAAGGTGGAGGGCCAGGATGGCACACAGGACAGCTCCATGGGCACAGTGAGGGCAGCTGACCCAGAAAAGGCTATCATAGGCCATAGCTGGCCAGGATCAAGTGACCTACTCGGGTCCTCCCAGCTCTTTCCCTCCCCTCCAACACCCCAGGCTCCCAGAGGGACGGGGCTGCAGACCCCGCACCCCATATCAGTAGCAGGGCTGAGGGCAGAGCAATTTTGACTCTTTTCCAGTTTTATAAGAACAGAACTGGATGTGTGTGTATATGTGTGTGCGCACATGCGTGCACGCATGTATTCACATGTACACTGGGGTGCTCGCTTTGGCAGCACATATACACATGTACACTGGGAGAGGTTGTGTCGCAGGCAGAGATCAGTGACTGACTCGAACTCACCCTCTTCCCTTGGTATTTAGAGGAAATGGCTGCACTCCAAGAATGCTGGGCCCAAGAGGAGAACACCTATAAGCCACTACCAGGGTCGGTCCACTTCCTGTCACATGTTCCCTCATTCCTCCTTCTCCCTCTCCAAAGGCCCTCAGGGATGGAGAATGGAATCCTTTCTCTTGCCCAACAAGAACCAGTTCCAGAAACTTCTTCCATAAGGAACTCCAGGATCTAAAGTTGACTGACACATATATGCTGACGCTCTAGGACACAGAGCTAATGAGGTATGTAAGTTTGAACAGCACCTGACGTGAAAGAGCCCACAGCGATTGCCAGGGCCTTGCCTTGGTGGTGCCCACCCTTTCCTGTGTCACTCCTGGGTCCACAGCCAGACCATGTGAGGCCAGGCCTTTCTCAGAAACCAGCCTCTCCCTGTCCAGATGAGGCCGGGCGCTGAGGCCTGGACAGCGAGTGGCTAGAGAGCTGTCAGTCCACACTTCATGGGGGAGGGCAGCATTAATAGCCGGTCTCTCACCTGGTCACTCCCTGCTCCACTCACAGAGCCTGAAATAGCCTCACTGCTCCCTACACTCACACAGAAGCAGGTTCTGGCTTCCACCGTGCTCACTAGGGAGGGAGAAGGTATGGAGATGGGCCACACAACAGCTCAGCCTGCATCCTGTCTGTGAACCAAAATATGCAGGGCCCCATGCTGGACACTGCTTAGGGAAGCAGCCTAGGGAGAAGGCTTGGATTCTTATGCTTCCCTAGGACTGGATGGGGTCTCTCAGCCAGACTCCCCTGATACCCCTATACTGGGAGGCCCTGAGGGCTGAGCCCTTTGGTCTTCACAGTTCCCCAGTGCCCAGCAGTGTGGCACAGATTAGGTGCTCAAACATTCATTAAATAAAAGCAAGAAGTGTGAGTGAACTATGTGAGATCAATACCTCAGCTCTTGCTGTCTGATCCTCAGTGTCCTCTTCTATTGCATCAGCAGTGTGGACCCTGGGGCCCCAGGGAAAGCCATGAGCACCTGAAGTCTGGGGTCCATGGTTCCCTGAACCCTCTGTGAGGATCCCTGCTAGGCAGAGAATATACTGCCCACCTCCCACAGCAGGTGGAGACTAAGCATCCTGAGCTATCCCAGGTGTCAGGGTATGACCTAGCTCTGAATGGGGACACAGCTATCTTCTGGAATGACCCAGGACCGAGAGGGATAGGACCAGAGGGACCACTCTGAGCTGTACACTCATCCTCTGAGCCAGCCAGATGTCCACAACCAGGCCAAGGGTCTAGCCCTGTGTCATAATGCTCAGCCTAACGCCTCAGTGCACCTAATTAGTATGAACGTCTTGTCCACCCTTTTTTGTTTTTGTTGTTAAACAGCTACTGGAGGCCAGGTGGTAGGATGAATGCCTCACCTATATCACCTAATTTAATTCCTGCCAGACAACATTTGAAGCAGATATCTTAACAGAGCTCTATAGATGAAGAAATAGAGGCTCAGAGAGATTATGTGATATGCTCAAGATCACACAGCATGACAGTAATGAAACAGAATCAGAACCCAGGACTGCCAACCTTGAGGCTGTATTCTCAGGCTGTGCATCCCCCACGCCCAGACTGACACCCAAGTCAGGCTGCACCCAACCAACCCTGGACACCCAAGCCCACCGCCCCCTGCCCCCACCCTGCCAAAGACGGCTATATGGTGCGCTGCCTGGAGGCGATGGCTGGGCCAGGAGGCCATGGGGAGAGCACACCATGCCAAGATTCTTCTATCTCACTGTTTCTGGGTCAGCCACCAGCGCTGATCCCAACGTACACTGCTACCTTGGCCCTTTCCTACCTTGGAATTAGCATTTCCAACCCAAGAGCCAATGTGTTGCTTTAGGAACAGGACACGCTATTGAGGAATGAGGCAACTGCAAGGACTATTCTCCTTCCCACTGAGGCCTTGCAGAGGACTCGAACTGGGCCAGGTGTGGAAGGAGGGGCAGGGACTTACAGAATAGAGTTCTGCAGGAGGCAGAGTCTAACATCTGGTCGAGGAGCTTCCCAAAGCCCCGCTCCTGCCCCGTGTCACCTAGGCTCCAGAGCTCTTGACTCCCACTTAGCGTGGTCTCCTAACCATGTGACCTCAAATCCTCACTGTCTACTCATCCCTCAACCAGGTCAATGTCACCTCTCATCTGGACCTAGCCCAATCTCCTCAATGGCCTCCCTGCCTCTTCTCCTCCCCTCCTTCACCTGCCATCCAGTTAGATTCCTAAAACAGAGGGGACAAACTGTGCTGCCCCTTGCCTCCCAGACTGCTCTTCCTCACAATGCCTGGCCCAGCAAACCCTTCTACCACTTTGTTTGCCTACCGCATGTCCGCTGGCCACACTTCCCCTGTCATCCTATGTCTGCAAGCCTTTACTGTCATACTTCCCTAAGTCAGGAGGCCCCTCCCGGCGGAGCAAAGTTCTACTCATGGGAGAAGTCCCAGCTACAGTCCACCTCCTCTGTGAACCTCTCAGGCAAACCTGGGGTACCTTCCCCAAACCCAAAGCTCAAAGCTCTGCAGGCATCAAGTACAGTGCCTATGACAGACCCATTTGTATGGTGCTGACTTGCCAATCACAAGAACTTCTTCGAGGGCAGGGCCAGGTGTGCTCATCTTTGGAGTGCAGTTGTCGAGCAGAACCCAGCACAGAGAGTCAGCCCACCCTTGTTTCTAATGAGGCTTGGAAGCAGACAGTGGGTAGGCCTTGCCTACTTGAGCTCTACAGGCAAGGAATCCAGAACTGGGGATTCCCAACGGTCTGTTTGCCAAGGCTCAGAGCTGAAGGCTGGACTCCTGGTAGAGCTGCCAGCCCATGCAGCTGCAGGCAGTACCACCCCATGCATGGCAAGAGGCCACATTGGTGAGCCCTGACTCACTACAGTCTGTAAGTACAGCCAGACGCCCACAGGGTGCCAGTGATGCTGGGCTCATCTCTGACCCCAGCATCCTAGACATTCGGGGCAGCTCACCTGGCTCCACTTGCCCCTCCACCCCACTTAGGCTCCAGTGCTCTTCACTCCCACTTAAGCCTAAGGGGGAGGGGCCGTTCCTCTCCAAACCAGGCAGCTTAACATCCAAAGAAATGCCATATCACTGAGGCAGGGGCCACCAGAATGACTGAAGAGGTAGGATTCTAAGCCCCATGCCCAAGGCCTGCTGTCTCAACCCTTGAGGAGTTGTAGCCACAGCAGGAAAGCTGAAAGAGGGAAGGCACAGAAACAATAAGGTATGACTCCAAAGGAAGGGTAGAATCTGAGCAGCCTGGCCTTACAGCCCTGGTCTCAAATGGGGATGAAAGAGGGAGGCACAGCAAGAAGAGGCAGGGGACCAAAGCCCCGGCACAAACTAGGGACATGCAGTAGTATGGCCCCATGCAGTCAGAAGTCCATGGGTAGCCATGAGCTGAGAACCAGACCTGGACAAGGAGAAAGGATGCCTGGAGCAGGAGTCCAGGTTAAATCTGGAAGGAGCTTCAAGCTCAGAGAGGAGGTGGTGTGTAGGATCAGCTCACATATTTTCCCACCCCTTCCCTGGAAGCTACAACACCCCTGTCCCATGTCCATCCATGGGGCAGAACCCCACCCAGGACACGGGAGGCTCCTTACCATGTGGGGGTTGTCGTAGTAGATGGCGATGGAGCGGAGCTTGGGGGAGACACTGCAGCTCTCGGTGAAAAGCCGCCCAGTCTCGCTGTAGGGCCCCATGTGGAACTTGTAGGCCACAGTGACATTGCGGATGGGAGGTGAGCCGGCACTCACTGCCACCCTGGCCAGCAGCCCTGAGTACCCGGCAAAGGCCAGCAGTGTCAGCAGCAGCAGCAGAGTCAGGCCCCCAATCAGGCCCAGGAGGAGCAGATCAGACATGGCTCTATGCCCCCGACACTGTGCCCCAAGACAGCTGCAAAGGAGACAGGAGGGAGAGAAGGCTGGTAGCCTGCTCTGACCAATGTGCCCACTTGCCCGCCAGCCACTTCTGGCCCAATCTCAGCTGTGTGTTGGGTGCTCTGACCGGGGGGGGGGAGGGGCCAGGGTGTTTACACACAGAGTGACCTAGAAGAGAGCTACAAAGGATGACTGTAGCCACAAGCCTCTTTATTTCTTAATCACAATTGTTGAGGCTCTCAGAACAGCTCTGCCTGTCAGCTGGCAGCCTTGGTCACACCTGGGGAAACTGAGTCATAGAGAAGCACAGGAGTGAGTCAGCCAGGGACATACTCCCAGCCCTGACCAACCTCCCCCAAGATGGGCAAGACATCAGCCAGCCTGCCTTTTCCCTACATTACCTCTTCCTTCCCACACACCGCCACACCGCCTTCTTGGCCTCCCCAAGCCTCAGGGACCACTGCCCTGGGCGAGTGCCAGGGTACGATCACTTATTAACAAATAAGGAATACATGAGGAAAAAAAAAAAACCCAGGGGGAAAATGTGCCACAGGAAGAGATTCTCACAGGAAACTTCCCTTTGCTGAGCACATCTGGCCCTCGGAATCTTGCTATCCAGCAACCTCACCCAACTAGAACCAAGGAACATCAGATCAAATCAGCCTGAGCAGCCAGAACAAAGTCCAGCACTGCGCTTCCCAGACTTGAACCATTGGTGCTAACAAGCTACATCCCACTTTGCCAGCCCATAGGTTAGAAACTATGAGGAGCAAGAAAAGTTTGCTAGAAATGGACACACATCAAGAAAAACAATTACTCTCTGGCCCAAGGACGGGGGTGCTGGCCTGGGGAGGGTCACGGCTGGGTCCACTTGCTGCGCTGTTCCTTCTCTCCACCAGCATCTCCAGGTGTTCAGAATTATTCTTTGTGGTTTTGATCCTGCCACCCCCCTCCTCTACTAGGTAGTTCACAGAAAGGCATCCTGGGGTGGCACGAGGGCGTCTTTTTTCTTCCTCTTTGTGTTCATGTCATTTATCTGACAATTGTCCCTCCTCCCCACTGGCCTTTCCTCATTCCTCCTTTCTGTATGGTACAAGCAATAAAGACACTCATTTCAAGGAAGAAAAAAAAAAAAAAAAGGCAGAGAAGCTATCTAAGAGAGGCCCAGGAACACATGAGGTGTATGAGCCAATCAAGGCAGACTGGTCAGCCCTCCATGAAGCATGGGGCCACAAGCCTAACCCTCTTATACAGAGGGCTTGACCTGAGTCACCCGGGGTGGGGGTGGGGAGTGGGGGGAATCAGCACAGAGAAGACTGTTTAAAGAGGAAGGGAAACATGTGACCCATTGGAGGAACAGTCTCACCCCAAGTATTTAACATGTAGGGGCACCTGGGTGGCTCAGTGGTTAAAGCCTCTGCTTTCGGCTCAGGTCATGATCCCAGAGTCCTGGGATCCAGCCCCGAATCTGCCTCTCTGCTCAGCAGGAAGCCTGCTCCCCTCTCTCTCTCTGCCTACTTGTCATCTCTGTCAAATAAATAAATAATCTTAAAATTAACATGTAAAATTTAAAAGATTTGAGAACTGAAGGTCAACATTTCAGCCCTATGGAAAACTTAGCTCTATGGAGTAATTTGTTCCCTATGGGTTTTGGGTTATCAAAATTTTTACTGAAAAATTGTCTTTGGAGTCAATGTACACACAGTGTTAACCTCACAAAGAGGCAAACTAAACTCCTACATCTCTGATATCATAAAATTGAGATATAGCACACTGGTCTTCTTACCCAACTGCCTCACAGCTGTGCTTTTTTTTTTTTTTTTTTTTTTTTTTTGATGCATTCGCTGTCCTACTCATCTTGCCTCCAGTTAGTTTCATTCCTGTTTTCTTTGGTGACGACGATGATAAATCTTTTACCGAGTACTTACTATAGGCCAGGCACTATCTAAATGTTGAAACACAGCTACTTTATTAATTCTCAAGACAAGGTAGGTATGAATCAGGAAGTTAAGAGACTTGCTCAAGATGACACAGGAACTAAAATAGAGCCCTAGACCAAAATGCAGGCAGTAGGAACCCAAGTAGTCTGACCCCAGGCCCCATTTCTATCTCCTCCTTCCTGGTGACAAGGTTTCTAGAAAAGTTTAAGCATCTAATCCATGCTGGGACATCTCTGAACCCAAGGCTCTCAGCTGGAAGCTCTCACTCAGCAGGTAGGTCTCCCCATTGCCTCAAGAGTGACCATCTCTCACTTTGACCTACCCTCTCAGATAGGTCACTCCCCATTCTCCTCAAGGCAACTTAGTTCCCACCTCCCTCTTCCTCTCACCTCCTACACTACCCAGAAGAGAGGGAAAATGCACCCCAGAGCTTAGGTCTGCACAGGAGGGAGGCGGGGCAAAGTGAATTTCCCCATACTCAAGAAAAAAGGGCAGAAGGGCTGGGGAAGCTCACCTGAAAAGACAGGCTCACTTTTAGCAACTCATGGCATCCAGCGCCGCAGGGACCAAGTGCTCCAAGCGCTCCTGTGCTGGGGGCAGAGAGAAAATTACCACTGAGCCGGGCACCCTGCTTTGACTGTTCCCTTTTCGGGGAAAACCCACTAGAGTCTCTACAATAACTCTCTTCACAAGGTTGCTCTTCTCCCTCGTCCTCACACCCCTTACGGAAATCAGAAGCCAAACCCGACCTCATAACGTGAACTCTTACTGGGGCCAGGCTCATGCCCCTGTTCTAGGAGAGCCCTCTTCCTGGAGGGTTCCAGCCACCGAGCCTGGCTCTGAAACAGCCCCTGCCGCTGACATCAGGGAGGCTGTCCCCTTTTGGCCTCTGTTTCTCCTCGGGTCAGGGGAGCGGTCCTCTGGCCGGGTTCCTGCGAGGGGTTGGGTCCTCGGTCCCGCGCCGACTTCCTGGAGCTGCTCTCTTGCGCCGCGGAAGCGGGCCGGGCCCTTAAACTTCGGTGCCAGAGGGGAGCTAAAGACCCGGGTTCCGAGGGGCCTGCGCGGGAACGAGGTGGGCCGCCTCCCACTCTGGGCTTCCAGCCCTGCTTACCCGCACCTCGGTTATTTACCCAGCCCCTTTCTTTCCAGTCACAACCTCACCCGGCCTCATACACCTCCGTAACTTATGAGACGCTAAAGTTTGTAGCCACCGCTGCGAGGGCGGCCTCCAGGGGCAGGGGCGGAATTAAAAGTGCGGTTCTTGCCTCAGTTCCCCACCCCCACACCCCCGCTCGGGCTTCACTGCCACGGGACGTGCCCTGCACCGGAGGCCGAAGCAGGGGCGACCCAGGGTGGCAGACTTGTCTAAGGTCGCGTTCGGGCCCCTGGACCGGTCGGGGCCAGCTGCGGGCGAGACAAGATGCAAAGAGCGGCCTGGGCCGCGGGGGTCACGGAAGGGACGCGGGGGCCCCTGAGGTCGCGCCCAGGCGGACGGAGGTTCCAGGCCCTCACCGAGCGTGGGGCCGCCCCGTCGGGACGCCTCTCCTCCGGCCGGGCCCTCACCTCAGCCGCCGCCCGCCGCGGACGCCGATCCGCGAAGGCGGCTCCAGGCTAGGTCGCGGAGCCTGCGCGCGCCCGCCGCGCACGTTCGCTCCGCCCCCTCTCGCGGCGGGACGTGGCCGTGGCCGTGGGCGCGTGCGCGCGGGACCCGGAGGGCGGAGGACTGCCCCGCCCGATCTCCGTGGCAACGAGCGGCGCCCAAGTGGCTCCCCGCCACACGCACACCCCCAGTCGTCAGCGGCGGAGCCCACTGAGCACCTTCCTGCCTCTCACAAACTTACCCGGTCCCAGCAGTGGGAGGCGGAGGCAAGTCAACCTGGTCGCCCACAGCGGAGAGCCAGGCTGGGGTCCAAGGAAGCCCTCGCCAGAGTGGAGCGTTTGAAGAGGCTCGGGAAGTTCAGCACAGCAGTATCAGCCCCTGGCATGTATCTGTACCACCCTTCGTCCTGCCACTTTCTCTCACTGAAGCTTCCCGAGAGACCTGGGAACTCAGCAAGGCAGGGCCACTTGTCCCCCTTTTACAACTGAGGAAACCGACGCCCAACTTGGACTCAGGGAAGAAGCCAATGGATGGATCCAACCTTTGGAACAGCGCAAATGCCGGTCACGTCTCCAACACTCCACCCCACTCCCAACCAGAGCACAGAAGTGGTCATTCATCCACCCAACATTTACTTATCCCTGCAAGAATAGTTCTAGAGGCTGGGGATACTGAATAAACAAAACCAAGGCCTCGACCTCTTGGAGCTCACCAAGAACCGCCCCCCTCCAGGCTCTTGAGTGAGGCTGGTCTGCCCATCTAGCTTAAGGTATATTAGGTAACTTTCGGGTCAAGTGTAAGCCCCTTGAACATAGGTTGAATCTTCAGCTCATATTTCTGAGGACCTACAAAGTACATTTCTAGAGCCCTAAGGATCTAACTTTGCTCTCCTGAGAGGCCCTGGAGACAGCTGTACTCCTGAGCTTGGCGGCAAGACCAGCTAGACCAAAAGCTACCTTGGTGCTCCTGACACAGAGGACATGTATTTAGAAGGGGAATCGTCTTAGTGTGGACTCCACTACTGCATTAGCAAAGTGCAGACGGGGCACACAGAGGCCCTCGTAATCCTGGCTTCCTTTCCCACTACTTCACACAGTTCCTTCCACAGGCAGAAAATGATGACCCTCATGCGTGGGGCCAAGCCTGTCCTCAGCTCGCTGGGCAAACATTGGCAGAAGGAGCAGCTGGCCCCTCACAGGCACTCAGGGCTGGGTTGGCAGGGTCGTGGCAGTTCTTCTGCTTATGAACATCAAATACATGATCAGACCCTTCAGGTGCTCCAGGCAAGTGGGCTATATATATACTTGGAAACATTTCCTATGAGATAAGGGCCAGTTCGTGGTTCAGAGACAAGACAGCTTCTGCCCACAGTGTTTGGCTGGTCATTTTTCCTGTTTCTCAGAATCTGAGGAGTTTCTCCCAGGAAACCAGGTATAGAACTGCCCTTTCCTCCTCATGTCCTCTCTGCTCACTTCCTACAGGCTGGCTGGGAATTCCAGAAGCCTGCATCAGAATTCAGGGGGTGCCTTAGTAGCTTCACCACCTCTGCTGTGAATGGAGAGTCTGCCTATGACTGAGACTGCTGGCCATAAGCCCCCCTCCCCAACCCTTGGCAGGTATCTCTGCAAGACCTCTGCTAGCCACCAGGAGGCAGCAGCCAAGACAAGCTGCCAAAAGAGGCGTTCCTCATCCCTCTTGAATTTAGTGTAAGACCTCTTCACCTAGCCATCTGCCCTACACGCAGTGCACTCCCAGCCCCCAATAGCATATATTCTGAGCCCAGACTTGGCCTTAGTCTCCTCCTTTTTTCTGTCCAAGAAATCCCCACAGAGCCTCTTTAATTCTCGCTCAGTAAACTAAGAGAGACTGTTTCTCTAGGGCTCCTTGCCTTACAGGGACCAAACTTGGAAAGACAAAGGGTAGACTACCCCCACCTTCCCTTTCTCCTCCTATTCCAAAGCCTGGATAGTTCTCTGTGAGGCTATGGCTAGACCCACTAACTCAGATGACAAAGGGAGGAGGACTACGCATTGTAAGATGGTCTGCAGATCCTGCTACCAGCCATCTCCCACCTGCTGAAAGGCACGGATGCTGCACCTAATCCCCAGTCTGGTTAGGGGTGCCCCAGCAGAACTTGCCATGATTGCGGACCATCTAGCCTCAGGCCACTCTGAGTCTGTTTCACTGTTTCCTCTAGAGCCTGGAAATGTGGTCTTCTTCAGGTAAGCAAAGGCAGAAAAAGTCTAGCGAACCCCACTGTAACAAAGCCTGTCAGCAGTTTGCCCTCTATTCCTCCCTCCCTAACCCCACCCTACCCACCCTGTGTCATCTCAATGCCCACTATACTCTAAGTTATATCCTTTTTACCACCCAGCTGAACAGTTGTTTAGACAATTCCTTGATCAAAAAACACTGCCTTCTTGAGTTTAAATTTTATTTTACAAAAAGAGAAATAAAGAAAACTGATAGGCAGTTATACTGACTTACAATTGTTCTGTTTGCTTTTTTAAAAAAGTGACATGAAACACAAGTAAAAATAAATACGTCATAGAAACAGCCAGTTGCCCAGTCTCTGGGGCAGGAGCACCTGCCCTGCTGAGAGAGGAGGGAAGCCCATGATCACACCAGCAGCTGGAGCACCCAGCCACAGATGCTCCTCAAAGCCAGGCGCAGCAGGTCCCGGGCCTCAGGGGGCGTCCTGAGGAAAGAAGACGGAAAACCAAAGCCAGGTGCCAGGTCCCTGGGGCCATTTCATATCCCCCCACTCCTCCCGGCAGCCGTGTGGCCTTTAGTGGTTATCCATTGCGACCCCCTCAACCCACCTGGACCCTCTTCCCCTGACCCTTCTGGAGAAGGTACAGGAAAAAAAAACCAGTCTTGGGCAGGCTGAGGGGGATTTTTCCCGTGAGTCCCCAGCCCACCCTGAGTAACACAACCAGATAACAGTTTACACCCATGTGCATGAGTGCACACTCTATCTTGCATGTGCACACGCACACACGCACACATGCACACACACAAGTGCACACACACCTGGGCTGAGTGCTCTTCCAGAGGAGGGTCCTGGGTCAGGTCACAGTATGAGGTCCCCTCTTCTGAATATCATCCCAGTAGTGGTAACAGAGTACCCAAATCTCCTCCAGCCCTCTGCACTAGACTCTGCAGCCTACCTGGCTACCTCTTCCCAATGCAATAGATGACTATATCCAACCAACCTGTGAGAGGAAAGGGGCAGACTCAGGTCCCTGAAAAATGAAGTTGGACACTGCCTGCTTGGGAAGTTCATCGTTAAGACTTGGGTATTCATAAAAGGCCTAGGGCCAAGCTAGTGGCACAGAAGAGACATGAAGGGGTCACATCGAACACACAGGGCAGAAGAGTCAATAGAAGAGGACAGAGTCTGCAGGTGACTGACAGCGCAGCATTCTCAGGCCTCGAGGTGCAGATTTCCTGGGTAGAAGTCAGAGGAGGGCCAGAAAGTCTGCTGGGGGGTCCGTTGAGGGGAAGAGCTCTTCTTTCAGAGGCGGCTTACTGTGGGGAAAATGACTTAGCTGGGTGCACAGGCCATGGCTCAGAAGGGAGACGAGTTTTCTGAGGAATCACAGGAAACTGGGAAGTGGGAGGAAGGGGGTCATGGCCAGGAACACTAGGAATAAGGAATGTAAACCTCCCCCCCACGCCCGCCAGACATTCCCCATGGGATGAGGACTCAGTTCCAAAGCAATGCCAGGATTGAACCCACTGAGACAGAGGGCCTTGCTCTGCTGACAGCTTTGGGAGTGACAGTCTCACCCAGACTGCTAAAGTATGGTTGAGTGTTTCAACCTATCAGCAAAACTTTACCCCAGCAATTTGCTTCACGCACTGGGACGGGAATTTCATATTTAGTTGTGAATCACAAGTATACAGAGAGATACCACACACTAATTCCTAGGGAAGAGAGTTCCAAGGACCAGAAAGAGATGCTCAAGAAGCACAACCTGAAGGGGGTGAGGACTTGGTAGATATCCAATGATCTGATCCAACATGGTTCACTTACTTTCTTACTGAAATGGCTACTTTGTCTCTGGCTCAATTTTTACCCACAACAATATTAAGAAAAGGAAACTGAGTATCATTACAAATGGTAATCCTGAATCATTATGCAGTACTATATTCCCTAGCATGAGGATTTAGGCTAAACCAGATGGATGGGGCTTGAGAGCCCCTTGAAAACATCCTATGGAAGACAATGGTGAGGGAAAATGCTGAGGGGCCTAATCTACTACCGACCCCTCCTCTTACCCCTCTCCCCCATATCACCACCCTTCCCTCACTCAGGCCTGGATGGTAGGTGGAAGCCACCGTCAAGTGTTTCTGCTCAAAGAGGCTGTAAAACATGGTTCTTAGGCTCTGAGACATTTCCTGCTTCCCTCACACACATATTTAGTGTGCATGCACACTTGCCTACCACCATACATAGCAGAAAAGTAGAAGTGTTTTTCAGATTAAAAAACAAAAACCTAAAGCATGAAACTGGTAGCATTTCAATTTCCCATGATCCCACCCCATACCCCCTATACAATATAAGCTGCACATATTAAAGAAAGCCTTCTCTAGCCAGCTCAGCCTCCCAAAACTATTGCCTCTTCTGACCTGAAGCAAGACCCAGCCCCTGGAATCAGTGAGTAGAGAACAAGTATATACTGCCTCTCAGAATACCCATTCACTTCCTGGTACTTTCAAAGGCCCATCCTTCCAGTAATTGGTTTCAATCCCTTGCTGACAGTTTCCAGATTCTCAGCGCCTACTGCTAGGACTTCTTAGAGGTGAACACAGACATACTCCTCCACCCCTACCACACACACACACACACACACACACACACAGTCTCTGGGATCCTAGTATACCAGGGCCTTAGAGGCTATCATTTGTAGCCCAGGTTGTGAGTGTGCTCTGCAAATCAGAGATCCAGGCTAGCTCACTCCTACTGCACCAGTCTCAAACCTGAGAGCCCACTCCAACTGAGTCCCTTCAGCATCCATTCTTGGGATGCATCGG